GCTTGAAACTCACACTAGGTGTGTGTGCGTGCCCCAAATCACAAATGGACAATGGAGGAGAAGGGATTGGGACATGCCCATCCCCCTGGGGGGGTGATTTCTTGTTTTCTGTCTCTCTGTCTCTGTCACTCTTGTGAGTGCATGTGCTGTATAGCAAAAGATTCTCTCTTAAAAAAAAAAAGTTTGATAGAATTAAGCAGTGAAGCCACATGGGCCTAGGCTATTATGTATTGGGAGAGTTTTTATTAATTATTCCATTATATTATATGTTATTGTTCATGTAGGCTTTTGACTTCTTTGTGGTAAGAAGTCTTGGTAAAAAAAATAAATAAATAAAATGAGGACCAGCAGGTGGCATGGTGGTTAAGGTGCTGGACACTCCCACATGGCTGACTGTGATTCGAGCTCCAGACCTGGTGGCTTGCTTTCTCACTTGGTCTCTCTCTCTGTGTGTCTCTCTGGTCAAATTAAAAAAATTAATGAATAAGTAAAATTAAAAAAAAAGAAGTCTTGGTAACTTACATGTCCATCTCCTGTAGATTTTCAAAATCTCTGGTGTAGAGTTGTTTATAATTGTTAATGACTCTTTGTAAAAGAGGACTTCAAAAAGTTCATGGGAAATGGAATTAAAGTATGACTTCATATTGGTGCAAATTTTTTTAATTCATGCATAATTTTTCATAGAATTCATTTGACAAAGATGCCTTGTATATCTCTGGTTCAGTGTCTCCCTTTTTTCTTTCTGAATTTATGCATTTGAGTTTTTTCTATGATTTTCTTAGTTTAGCTAGTGGTTTGTTAATTTTGTTTGACTTTCAAACAATCAACTTTTCATTTCATTTATTTTTTCTTGCTTTATTAGTTTTAACTTTGCTTATTTCTACTTTGATCTTTATTATTTGTTTTCTTCTACTAACTTTGGGTTTGGTTTATCCTTGTTTTTGTAGCTCCTTGAGATTCATTATGAAGTTGTTTACTTGTGGGAGAAAGGTGGGAAATCAGGGAGAGTGAGAGGGGGAGAATCAAGGGAATAAAGAAAGAAGCAAAATACATAAGGGCCACAAAATGGAAAATGATCTGTTGAAGGTAATGTATATGGTGATATATTTGACTGCCCAATTACAGTATATTCATGATGGGAAAATTCATTTAGTATGTTTTAATGATATACAGCAATCGAATGTAGATAAATAAATAAAATAATTTTTTTTAAAGGAAGATAGATCTAATAGGCTGGTGTGCCTTGGGCAATTAAATAAAAAGTGAAAGTGATGTTACCAAAAAAAAAAAAAAGACATTTGTTAGAAAAAAAATTCCTGATGTAAGCATTTATTGCTATAAACTTCCCTCTTAATAATATCTTTTGCTGTATTTCAAAGGTTATTTTATATTGTCTTTTCAGAAAATTTTTAAAAGTTTATATGTTTATTCTATCCATGAAAGAGAGGAACACATATATAGAGAGACACAGAGAGATGGAAAGAGCCAGGCACCATTCATGGGGTCTTTATGCCATGATCCACTCCCAGCCTCAGCTAGCCAAGATGACAGGAACGCATATGCCCAGAGAGCACTGGGAATCTTGGAATGTGATTCTAGGAACTTCCCATGTGGCCTCAGCATCACGGATGCTGCGACTCTGTGATGGCCATATTTCGACAAAGTCTTAAAGTTCCATCTCATTCTTTATTGACCCAGTGGTCATTCTAGGGCATACTGCTTAATGTCTACATATTTGTATAGTCTCTAAAGTTGCTTTTGTTCTTGATTTCGAGTCTGATTCCTCTGTGGTCAAAGATACTAGATATGATCTTTGTATTAAACATTGTTGAGACTAGTCCTGACACATGATCTGCCTTGGAGAATGCTTCATGAACTGATGAGGACATGTATTCTGCAGCTGATGGATGAAGTGCTATCTTACACGGTTTTCACTTGCATTTCCAAAATGGTCAATGAGGTTAAATATCTCTTCATGTGTTTATTGTACACTTTTAAATTTTTTTTGAGAAATGTCTATTTAGATCCTTTGCCTATTTTTCTTTTATTTTTTTTCTTCTTTTATTTATTTGTTTTTTCCTGAGAGGTTTTTGCTATAGAGCGCCTGTGCTCACCAGAAAGTCAGAGAGAAACAGAGAGATGGAAAGCAATAAATCACCCCTTAGGGAGGACGGCTACACTGCAATCCCTTCTCCTCCATTCTCCTCTCGGAATCTTGGGCACACATGCACATGCACCCAGCATGAGTTTAAGCCACCGGGTCCGGGACTTGAATCACGGTTGACTACATGGGAGTCCAGTGACATAGCCATTATGCTAACTGCTGGTCCTGTTTTTGCCTATTTTAAAATTGAGTTATTTATCTTTATGTTGATATGTTTTCAGGATGTTTATATATATATTCTTGATACAATTACCTTACTGGATATATGATTTGCCAATATTTTCTCTTATTATGTCAGTTGTTACTGGCACTTTTTGAATCAATGATATTGACTAAATAATTAAGAAATGACAAAATAATAATTGTGTCACTATTACATGCCTTAGCAAAAAGCAACTAAATTTTAGCAAAACTAATTTTGCAGATTTTGGTTATTCACATATATCTAAACCTGAAAAAGAGATTATGACTCAATTAAAAATGGTAACTGGGCCCTTTCCAAAAGAGTCTTTAAAGAATATCATGATGAACTGTGAATGATACTAATGAAACCAACCAATTGTTTCAATTTGGAATTATTCATTGATTCTCAATTTACCTAAATTGCTAATTGATTCTTGTATCATATTATTTTTAAAATTCATCCAACTGTATAGGATGATGTGGGAAATAAAATAGATAATGCCTTCAAATAACTTATCATTTAAGTGTTAAAATAAGATACAAATAAATATAATTTATTTTGGAAAGTGATTAATTTCATATTAAGTAATTATTATTTCCCGGTTATTATTAAGCCCTTGGAAAATGGAAACACTTAGATGATCAGTTTTGCCTCACTTGAGTAACTCTCAGTCTAATGTGTGTAAAAATACTCACATTTTATATGTTATGGATAAACACATTGAAATAAAATGCCAGTAGTTCATAAAATAATAGAGCACTATATTAGACAGAAGTGATCAACTCTACATGTCAAGGTCAGGGAAGGCTTCGCCGAAGTGTTATAAAAGAAAAAAACTGCAAGTTCAAATACAGAAAATAATATGGCTTATATATATATTTGTGTGTGTGTATATATATATATATATATACAAAACTAGGCATCTGAGCACATATGACTTACTGGAAGAAGCCACAAAAGTAGTAAGACCTTTAAGTGAAGGACACAGAATATAGTGTGGAAATTTTGAGTATGAATGATTGAGAAGAAGCTAGTAACTTCCACATAATAGAGAAAAAACTTTCTCCCACTTTTGCAGTCTAGAAGTTTTATGAAAGACTCTAACTTGTAAATAAACCACAAAAATGTCTATTCAAAAGTCCTTGTGGCATTCTCTCTTCCATCTTTCTCCTTCCCTGAAGACATGGAGAACAAATTGGAATAGAGCTGGTTTTTCCAGTTTGTGCCTGGCTTAAGAGATTGCAGACATTCCTCATGGCATGAGGGAGCTGAGGCTCTCAAAACAGACTTGGAATGTTTGTTCTTGGCTTTCAGTACAGCAGAGAAGCCAAGGCAGATGTGCTTCTCCTGAGCCAGAGTTCACTTCCACACGTGTGCCGCTATGCTTCTTTCCCCAAAGACACCATTAGTCCCTCTCCCTGTGCCCATGCATTTTTTCCCCCTAAGGGAAAATCTGGAGATCATATAAGGGATAGATTTATTCTTTTATCATCATCATTATTATATTAATTATATTCCTGCAGTAAGCAGGGTATTTTGCCTCCCTTTCCATATTTTGGTAGGAAAAGATTTGGTACCAATATTTAAGGACTTTTTTTTTTTTTTTTGAGAGGGATGAGAAGGAATTTTTTAAGAGAGATTTTTGCATGCGGTCACTAGAGAGATAGACAGAAAGCGACAAATCACTCCCCCCCCCGCCCCCCGGGGGGTAGTAGTCACGTTGCAATCCCTTCTCCTCCATTCTCCTCTTGGGATTTTGGGCACTTATGCACACATTCTCAGTACAAGTTATTAAAGTTTTTTAAGAGAGGCTTTTGCTAAAGGGTGCAGGTGCTCCCAGAGAGAGACAGAGAGACAGAGAGACAGAGAGACAGAAAGGTAGAAATCATTCCCCCTCCGCCCCCGGGGGGATGACCATACCACAGTCCTTTCTCTTCCCATTCTCTCGTCATCTTGGACATGCAAACACACTTGCCCAGAGTGAGTTTGAACCTGCTGGGTCCAGAATGCAAATCATGGTCGGCCATGTGAGAGTCGAGTGATGCCATCTGCTGGTCTCTTCCAGTATGAGTTTTAGCCACTGGTTCCAGGACTCAAGTTATAGTTGTCTACATGAGAGTCCAGCAATGTAACAGTTACACCATCTGCTGGTCCCAAGGAGTTTTTTAAAATGATTTTTTTATTTGGTCATTCAGAGAATGTATGTGTGTACACATGTGTGTATGTATTTGTGTATGTATAAGGGAGGTGTGTGTTTGTGAGTACGTGAGTGAGAGGGAGATAGATAGATGAGCACCATCTATAGGGTATGATGGTGCCTCAAGCTCCTTTCCCCAGTCTCCCAGTACAGGATTTGTATTTTTCTCTATTTTTCCATTGCTGTTATTTCTGTAAAAGCAACTAGATTCATTTCATTTAACTTAAGAAACTACCACCACTGATCATATGTCAAGTTTAGTACAGAAGACACATAATTACAGCTCAGATTTGTTTAAAATTTATATTCATAGTATACATTTATCTAAAATTAATATTTATAGCTATGAAAATGGGGAACAAATAGAATCACTATTGAGTTAATTATATGGTCCTATATTTTCTTCTTTAGACAAGTTCTTCTCAGTGACCTGCTGCTTATTATACAATTCTTACCTGGAAGTCAGAAGCCCAAGTGCTTCCAAAGGGTGAGAAAATGTCCATCTTCTCAAAATGGTATGCATTTCCAAAACAGTCCTCTCATCCCAGCCAGGGGCACTACCCAGCACCAAGGCAAGGGAGCAGTTTTCGTTATTGCAGTAGAAGCGATAAAACCATAGGTATCTTCTCTTTTCCTCTGAGAGTCTGAAAAACCAGATTGGGAACTGCCATTTATTAGAGTTTACTGCACTAACAAATGTTGCTGTAAACACACAGAACAAAACCTTACTGTCGTTCTTTAAATTTTCTTTTAGTTTATTTTTGAAAACAAGACCTTTATCTTATGAGACAGTTCGATAGGTTATTTCATCAGCCTATTTCCCAGTAACTTTATTATTTTGTTTAAAAAAAAATCTCAATTCAAATAATTCACATTTATTTTTCTTCCCTGTTATTCTTGCCACTATATATAATATATATATGTTATATGTTATATTTGTAATAATCTACCTTTCTATAATTTTAATGGGAAAATCTGTTTTTTTTTATAGGAGAGTAAGTCTGAATCCTTCAACATGTTCTATTTAGAACAAAAATAATTAACCATTTACTTTCTTAATTTCTTTACAAATCAACTTAAATCCAAATGAGCTTGTAAGCAATGACATATTTTGATAATGATATTCATCTCAAAGCAAATTTCGTCAGGGCTCAGAGAACTCTTCACTGTTAGCTTCATAAACAAAGAACTCAATTCTCCCTGGATAATAGCTTTGCATTTCTTGAGTTCACTGAAAGTTTGGAGTGAAAATGCCAGTGATACCAATTTCTTAGATGCTCAAGTTTGTCCCTCTGGAGAGTGGTCCTAAAAAGATAGAAATCCAGGACTAAGGCCGCTAACCTGCTGACAGGTTTTCATGTTCTGCTCACACTCCAGCAGACGCACTCAGAATCACAGTTCAATTCAAGGACAGCATCTCTCATGGGGCAATGACAGCATTTGAACACTGTCTTCTCCAAACTGACACTCTGCTACAGTTTAAAGCAGTTTAACTCCCAGGAAAGGTAATGAAAAATATTAAAAGATTTTAAAGGTCAACGTTTCTCTAAAACTTTGTTTTAAGTCAGCTTCATCTGTATAGTAAAAAAGATTAGAATAAGATGATTTTAAAGGCCTGTTAAGATTTTTTTCCCTATGTTCTAACTTTCCTTACCAGGAGGCCCTAGGGGTGATGGGTGGAATCTTCAATTAAATTACTAAAACAAATTTTGTTCTGATTAAATTCCTTTTTTTTTTCCAATACTGAATAATGTTTCCTTTTCTTTCTTTTTTTTTCTTTTTTGAGAGGTTTTCGCTATAGGGCGCATGCGCTCGCCAGACAGACAGAGAGAGAGACATAGAGACAGAAAGCGAGAAATCACCCCCCAGGAGGGATGGTCACGCCGCAATCCCTTCTCCTCCATTCTCCTCTCGGGATCTTGGGCACGCACGCACACGCGCCTGGCGTGAGATTTAAGCCACCGGGTCCGAGACGCGAACCGCGGTCGACTACGTGGGAGTCCAGCGACATAGCCATTACGCCAACTGCTGGTTCCCATGTTTCCTTTTCTTTTAAGTCCTTTTATTGAAGCATACTTCACATAAAAGAAAATGTACAGATACAGCTCAATAAAGTTTGACCCATTTGTATACTAGTTGACAACCATAATCCCTCAAGGTTATAAAACAATTTTTTCATGACACGAGAGATAAGCACAGGAATCATTTCTTTCACTCTTGATTAAGATGATTTCTTTTAGGCCCAGCCATGGTGGCTCAGTGACAACACAATATTCTGTGATGCTGGAAGCCATATGGAAGATTGTGGCTTGGTTCTCAGGTTGACCTGCACCTATGCCTGGGATCCTGTCTGTGGACAGGCAGTGTGTGTGAGGGTGACCGTAGTATGAGACCCTGTTGAGGGTATTCATCTTCCCCTCTCTCTGCCTTTCTTTTTCTCTTTAGCTCTTTGTGTTTTTCTCTTATGAAAGAATAAGATAAACTTTAAAAAATTACCTCTTTTAGAACTTCAAATAAATGAAATCATAAACACTCTTTATGGTGTCTCTTTCTCAGTATAATGTTTTCAAAATTATCCACATTTTTATTGTCAATAGTTCATTCCTTTTCATTAAGAAAAATTGTTCCATTGTATGAATACATCATAGTTTGCTTATCCATTCTCCTACTTAAATGACATCTAGGTTGTTTCCATGTTGGGTTATTTTTAATAAAGGTGCTGATAATATTTGTGATCAAATTTTTATATGGACATATTTTTCATTTCTCTCAGGAAAAACCTAGGAGGGGAATGAATATATTGTTTGCCTGATATTTGTTTGGCTTTTGAAGAAACTATGTTTTCTACTAGAAGTTTTATAATTTGAAGTGTTATATTTAAGTCTCCAGTCCATTTTGAATTGATTCTTGTTACTGGTGAGAGATAAGGATCCAGTTTCACTTTTCTCCAGGTGGATATATAGTTCTTCCAGCACCATTTGCTGAAAAGACTTCCTTTTTTCCACTGCATTGTCTTGTACCCTTCGTTGAAGATCAGTTCGCTGTATGATCTGGGGTTTATTTCTGGATTGTCTCTTCTCTTCCCTTGGTGTATGTGTCTATTTTTGTGCCAGTACCATCCTGTTTGGATTATCACTGCTCTGTAATATGTTTTAAAGTCAGGTAGTGAGATATCTCCTATTTTAGCCTTTTGGCACAGTATTGCTTTGTGATACTGTGTCTTTTATGATTCCAGACAAATTTTATAACTGTGTTTTCTATTTCTGTGAAGGAGGTCATAAAACATTAGGGTTGCATAGAATATGTAAATTAATTTAGATAGAGCTTGACATTTTGACTATATTGATTTTTCTAATCCTTAGATAGAAAGGATAGAATATCCTTCCTGTTTTGGTATCATATTACATTTCATTATACAATTTTTTTGTAGTCTTCCTTATAGAGGTATTTCATTTCTTTGGTTAGGTTTATTCTTACGTATCTTATTTGTTTTGTGACTATTGTGAATGGGATTGCTTTCTTCAATTCTGTCTCAGTTTGTTCATTGTTGGCATATAAAAATGCTATAGATATTTGTATATTGACTTTGTATCCTGCTACTTGACTAAATTCATTTATCACTTCTAGGAACGTTTTTAGTGGATTCTTTTGGATTTTCTATGTATATAATCACATTATCTGCAAACAGAGACCGTTTAACTTCTTTGCTCCCTTGTCTGACTGTATTTACTAGGACTTTCAGCACGATTCTGAAAAGGAGTGGAGAAAGTGGGCAGCCTTGTCTTATCCCAGTTTTCCGTGGGAAGGCTTTCAGTTATTTCTCATTTGATATGATCTCCATCATGGGTCTGTTGTATGTGGCTTTTATTGTGTTGAGAAATGTCCCCCTTCCCTATTTCACTGAGAGTCTTGATCATGAAGGGATGTTGTATTTTAATTTTTACAAAAATTATGGACACATTTTATTAAATTTAATTTAGTCTGAATTCCTGACTCTGATTACATTTGATCTGTTTGAAAGAAGGAATAACTACTAAATAAATGATAAAATGTGGTATTCGGAGACTGAAGTCAATTTGATTCTAACACAAGTTTTACCACATTGACGGCTGTTTTCCCTCTGTTCTCACAGTCCAGAGTAATACTGTACTGTACTGAACATTAATAATTGTATCTGAGTGGGTAAAATAGAAGAAAATGTTGCTTCTTTTATAAATGTTATTAGCTTAAAACTAATGTCTAAAACAAATAGAAGTCACTGAGGATGATTTAAAAACACAAATCTCCAAAACTGTAATATTTAAAGGCATTTACTGTAACTTAATTTTTTTTTTTTTTTTGGAGAGGTTTTCGCTATAGGGCGCGTGTGCTCGCCAGACAGACAGAGAGAGACATAGAGACAGAAAGCGAGAAATCACCCCCCAGGGGGGATGGTCACGCCGCAATCCCTTCTCCTCCATTCTCCTCTCGGGATCCTGGGCACGCACGCACACGCGCCCGGCGTGAGATTTAAGCCAGCGGGTCCGAGACGCAAACCGCGGTCGACTATGTGGGAGTCCAGCGACATAGTCATTACGCTAACTGCTGGTTCCCTGTAACTTAATTTCTTTTAGAAAGAGATTTTTGGCTTTAGGGCATGTGTGCTCACTGGAGAGACAGAGAGAGACAGAGAGACAGAAAGCGAGAAATTTCCCCCACCCTCAAGAAAGATGGCCATGCCACACTCCCTTCTCCTCAATTCTCCTCTCCAGATTTTGGGGACACTCGCACATGTGCCTGATATGAACTTTTTAAGCCACTGGGTCTAGGACTCAAGCCATGGTTGACTATGTGGGAGTCTAGCAATGTAATCATTACTCCATCTGCTGGTCCTAGTTAGCTTTGACCTTTATAAAGTACATTTAAAATTTCAAAGCATTGCATGTTTTTTATAGTTTAAAAAATTCTCTTATGTATATACTAGTCTCTTATATGTAAGATTTTATATTTTTGAATAAGAAGTATAAAAAAGATGCTTCACCTACCTCAGATGATAGTAGTTTAGTCTGACAACAGATTGTTAATATATAGAGGGGACCAGCAGTTGGCATAATGGCTATGTCGCTGGACTCCCATGTAGTTAACCACGATTCGAGTACCGGACCTGGTGGCTTAAACTCATGCTGGGCACGTGTGTGTGCATACGTGCCCAAGATCCTGAGAGGAGAATGGAGGAGAAGGGATTGCAGTGTGGCCATCCCCCCTGGGGGGGAGGTTTTCATGATGGCTGTGACTCACTTTCAGTCCTTAAGGTAACTTTTTATACCAAATACTATGCAAAAACACCTTAATCCTTATCCTTATAACACTTTAATTTTACACATACTATTTATCAGGCATAGTGTAGAGTGTTGGGATTATAGTGATAAAATAGGTAAGTTCCTTGAACTCCCAGTTTTCACAAATTAATTAGGGGGACCAGGGAAAAACACATAAATGAATGGGATAATAATAGCTTGTGTTATAATGCCATTACTTCCCTTGCAATTCTTCCTGAGATTTTGGTTTCTTCATTAAATGTAATATGATAGGAAAAAAAGAGAGAGACTAATAGACAGAGTGGTTAAAAAAATAACTCTGACAAGATGGTATTTATTTAGGTGAAAACCTAGGGGATGAGATGATTTATTCATGTAAAAAAAAAGTAGCGAAGAGTATTTCAGACAGAGGAGATCCCAAATAAAAAGGTCTTGAGATGGAAAGAGACTAGTACTTTTGAAATATATGAAGGAGATTGACTACACTGGCTTTAAATGAATGAGCAAAAAAAGCAAATGAGCTGAAATTAGAGAGTAGCGTGGTAACAAGATTACTCAGAACAAAACTCTTGATCACACTCCATGCCACAGTTTGGGATGGCCTAAACTGATTCCTCCAGCAGAAAACGACTCTAACACCTGCCCAGGTGATCAACTAAAAACCTTGTATTGGCCATTGACTTGACCTTGATTCCTTGAGGTCTCTCATTTGACTTATCCCCCTATTTCCAAATAACCATCAAGTCACATCTTGCCAGTTTCTGGACTGTATCTTTCAGATCTAGTCACTTCTACCAATGTCCACTTCTGTCACCTTAATTCTACATGTCATGAACCCTTGCCTAAAACAGTATATTAACCTCCTTGCTGTACTGTTACTTTTTACTCTTACTTTATCTCCAATTCATTCTTTTTTTTTTTTTTTGGAGAGGTTTTTGCTATAGGGCGTGTGCACTCCTCAGGACAGAGAGAGACAGAGAGACAGAAAGAGAGAAATCACCCCCCCAAGGGGGGTTAATCATGTCACAATCCCTTCTCCTCCATTCTCTTCTCAGGATTTTGGGCACACACGCACACGCGCCTGGCATGAGTTTAAGTCACCGGGTCCAGGACTCAAATCGCAGTGGACTACATGGGAGTCCAGCAACATAGCCATTACGCCAACTGCTGGTACCTCTCCAATTCATTCTTGAACAGAGGCTCAAAGGGATCTCTCAAAATGATTCTTCAGATCACTTGAGTCCTCTATTAAAAACCTTTAAGTGAAAACAAAGTACTTTATCATGCTTTACTTCATCACTGAAGAGCCATTTTCTTAATTTTCCACCTTTGGCAGGTTATTAATGAGTATAATAAGCTGTGACTTACATTTTGCCAAGAACCAAACACAGATGCCACTACGTCCTTTACAATTCTTTTTGAGATTTTGGTTTATTCAGAGAATTGCTGTTTGACAAAATCTAAGTTCTCCTGACTCACTGATTTAGTGCTATTGAAACATGACTTATTTCTGTTCTTTGTAAAATCTCCCATGATAATTAGCTTTCACTTTCTCCTGTTTACTAAAACAACATCTTACGTACTGAAGGATGGTTGAGCCATGGGTTATCACTGTTACGTGCTGCTATACAGCTAGCCACTCTGCTTCATTGTTGTGAACCAAATGGTTTCCAATCTTTTTACTTTAACTTAGTCTGCAATTAAGATTGCTAAATACCACAGGGGAAAAAACCCTAACAGCATACATAATTACTTACTGGCTTCATTAACTAATCATATAATAGACAGGACTTCAGGAAATGAAGAGTTATGAGGGAAAGAAGTTTCATTCTTTGAAGATCTCAGTGTTTTTAGTGTAACTGATGATATCGTGAACAGCAGGCAAAATTCATTCACAAGACTGGGGTCACTCACAGCAGGGGAGACTGTTTCTGTGCAAGTCTGGCAATATGCTTTAAACACTCTTTTGGTGGTTCTTCAAGATTAATTCTGTTCTCTTCGGAATCAAGTTTCATAAACTCCCATCCAGTAGCTGGAAAATCAATCTGAAATAAAGAAATGATTTGCCATTTATTGAAAGTGCTGCAAAATGCGTTATTAATTTAATCATCTGTATTTAGACTTGTAGAAACCAAGGTAAAAACTGTTTTTTCTGTGATATTTATTATTTTAAATAATTTTAAAAAGAAGAACTGGGACTTGGTCTTTAAATATATGTAGTATTTGACCAATTGCCTATAAAATTTGTATAAATTAGTGATCTTTAATGGCATCTGATAGAAAAATAAGAGACATACAAACTATATGTAAGTCATTCCTAAAGATTTTATATTTCAGTGTTTAATGTCTTTCTCTTATAAAATGATAATATCTGAAAATGGTAATTATGTATACTTTTCTTTTTCTAGCTTGGAAAAATAAAAAAAAAAAAGATTTAAAAAAAAAAAAAAGAACCAGCTTTCACTTTCATTTATTTTCTGTATAGTTCATTTATTTTCTATTTCATTTATTTCTGATGGTATCTTTTAAAATGATGATATCTGAAATTGGTAATTATTTATACTTTTCTTTTTCTAGCTTGGAAAAATTAAAAAAAAAAATTACTCCATGTTGCTCTCTGTTTCATTAAATCCACAAATCTGAGAACCATTTTGTAGACAAGAGAGTGAACACAGCTCTGGTAATGTGAGAATATAATCAAATAGAGTATTTTTGCTGTGGCTCCGTAGTTCAGATTTATAGACAGGGCAAGAATCCAGACCTCCTTTTTTCCTGGTTCAATGTGTTTTGCATTAAACCATTTTTCAGTGATAATTTGATTCTAGTAAATAAACTAATACTGAACAAAAAAGACAGTTCCAAACTATGTGAATGAGCTGGATATTTTAGTGTTCCATATATTTAGCTTAAGTGGATCATACGTGTTTTTTTCACTTTATTATTAGAAAAGCCATAGAACTTATTTTTCTTTGCTGAACTACTGAACCATGTTACACTGGAATCTCAGAGAAAATTGAGGGACCATTATATACTAGACTGTGTGAATTACAGTTTGCAATGCAGTTGAATCTATTTGTTTGACAAAATTTTAGTGATTTCATTCTATAACATCTAAAATCTGTCACAATTCTCATTTTTGATATAATCTTTGTTATCATTTATGAATTATTACATCAAGGTGATAGAAGAAAGAAGTAATGGATAAGATAAGCCAAAGCAATATGACAATAAATTTTGCCTCTTGACAAAGATCAATCTTGAAAGATGAACTTTGGTGCCTTAGAAGGAAGTGCAATCAGTACAAGCAGGTTACAAGTTTCCATTTATGTCTCCAAATATTTTTAGACCCATGGGAAAAAATCAGGAATAGTATTTAAGAGGTAATACATTTTTATATTATTCTTAATAGTGGATGAGAGGGACCAGCAGGAGGTGTGGTGGTTAAGGTGCCAGACTCCCACATTGCCCACCATGGTTCAAGTCCTGGACCCAGTGACTTGCTTTCTCATTTTCCCTCTGTCTGTCACTTTCTTTCTCTCTGGTCAAATTAAAGAATAATAATGATAATAAAAAATAAATAAAATGAGTAATTCCTAGAAAAAAAAAAGAGTAGGTGAGAACACTAAAGACTGTGTGTATGAATACAAAGTATTCTTGTACACAAATCTATATGAAGTTCTTTGATATATTTCATTTGGAAAATCATTTTATTCTGATATACACATTAATTCCTATATCAAATCTTGTTTATTTCATGGATTATAAAGCAAAATAGTTACTTATTCTTAAGGCACTGATAGAAAATTATTGGAATTTCTTCCAGTTATCTTTTGTTCTAAGGTTTTATAAAAGAGAAGTTCCCCAAGAGACTCATTGACAATAATAAGCAGCTAGCACCCCAAAGTGTGCTTTAAAGCAGAAATGGCAATCACACAACTCTGCTCCTTCTCCTTCCGTGACTGTGGTGACAGCCTCAAATTTCTTGTAATGAAATGCTCCAGGAGATCTATCAAATGTCTATATTGTGTATGTCATGACATTCAACTGCCACACTCCTTCCTGCCTTAAGCCTTGAATTCATCTCCTCAATTCAAACTTCTGATTTCAAGGAAAAAAATATTTGTGAATCTTTACTCTGGGATAAAGGAAAATAAACCATTCGGTCATCCTAACTCATATCTCTGTACACAGTTAGATACTGACTTCTTGTGTTCCACTTATCCATCTTCATTTCTCATCCTTGTCCACTTGCACTTGGTCATCATGGTTCCTATTGTGGCACTGTGGCTTGAAAGTGCTGGGGGAGGGGTTATAAGTGTCTATAACGTCCATTCCCCACAGTCATGACCACAAGGTGCCTCTAGGTCTAATTTGGGCCTCCATGCTTCTGTTAGCTTGTTCAAAGAACTTCCACCTAGGACTGATCGTTGGTTAAGATGCTGAACTCCCACAGGGTCCACCATAATTCAGATCCTGGACCTGGAAGCTTGCTTTTTCACTTTCCTATTCTCTCTCTGGGTTAATTAATAATAAATAAATAAATAAAAATTTTAAAAAAAACCTTTCACCTAACTTACATATGTAGTCTGGATATTGTAAGGCCCATATATGTTAGATCATAAGTTCTTTGGCATTTGAAGGGAAGGAAGAATACTTACTGTGTACCACCTGTTGTGATTCTCAAGGAAGAAGTTGTAAAAGGAATGTAAAGCCACTTGGTGGTTTGGGAGTGAAGAATAAAAATGGATGTTTGTTTGGGACTCAAAATTCGTTGTGTTCTAAGATCCTGGTAAAAATGATAGAAGTGTTGCCTCTCCCTAACGCTACTGAGAACAGAGATTAAGCATGTGATAAAACGCTATGCAAAGTAAAATACTTTGAGTGGTGAGTAGGTAAGACCTGTGCTTTAAGGAGAATGTCTACTTGGATAAAAGAATGATCTGGCACACAGGTTCGGATAAATGAACCAAAGTCCTCAGTTTAGACAAATTTGTGGGTTGTGTTATTGTACTCACCAGAAATATAAATACATAACTATAATTTAACAAATATCATATTTCATGTACAAATATTTTATTTCAGATAGTGGAAATAAAATAGTCAAGGCTTTTGAAGATCTCCTAGACAGTGGAAAGAAATACGAAGGTATTACATATGTTATAAAAACGTTATTTAGTAAGGGAAGGAGAGGGGAATGAGGCAAAGAGAAGTGTGAGAAAAACACATGACAACAGTAACACAGAGACAGGGCAGCTAACTTGGCTTGGGGTGGGAAGAGAAGGAGATAAGGGAAAGTTTCCTAAAGGAAGGTCCATGGATCATAAAAGGTGAATATCGATTATACCCAGTAAAGAAGGGGTGGACAGTGGAAGATACAGGGAAGGGGAAGACACATCGTAGGCGTGGAATAGTATTTACAAATGCACATAAGGTAAATGCAGGCAGGGGTTGCCAGGAAACTCTTATTTAAAAACAAACAAACAAACAAACAAACAAACAAAACCAAGCTATTCTTGCTATAGGATGTGTCTTGCTATAGGGTGTATGCGCGTGCCAGAGAGATAGAGAGAGACAGAAAGAAAAAAAAAATCACCCACGAGGAGGGTTGGCCATGCCATAATCCCTCTCCTTTTGGGATTTTGGGCACACACACACACACACACACACACACACACACACACATTCCCAGTGTGAGTTTTTTAAGCTACTGGTCCAGGAACTCAAACGGCAGTTGACTACATGGGAGTCCAGAGACATAACCACTCCACCATCTGCTGGTCCCTGAGAAAACACTTTTAAAGTATCTGGAACTTTGAGTGTCAAATACAGACTGAAAAATTAAGCCATGGGACAGGGATCATACTGCAGAGCTTGGTCCAATTTGCCAGGTAATGAAGAGTATAAGCAAGGAAATGGCAGTTTCAGATAAAAGTTTCAGAAGAATCACACTTGTGACTAAGTAGATTTTGGATTAAAGAAAGACAAAACTAAAGCCAAGCAAAATTCTTGCAATATAGGAGGGAGTTGTTGATGTAGGGCATGAGGTACAGGATTGAGAAGATAGAGGAGGAAATATGGAGATAAACTGGTAGCTATAGTGTAAAATGTGGGTAGACAGAACGTGGGGGGAGATAAGGAAGGGATAGGTATATGTGGGATATCAACAGAGCTAAAGAATGCAGGGGCCTCAAGTATTGGGTCGTCAGGAAAGTCATGATGCATTTTTGCATAGAAAAACATGGAAAAATACGTCATGACTTTTCTGACGACCTAATAATTCATTTAAATAAAATGTCAAATATAGGGACATCGATAAAATACATGCTGTATAATTCTATTTAAATGAAATGACCAGAATAGAGAAATCTATTTAGTGTAACTGTGAAAACTCTAAAAGTGATTGACTTAACACAGTTTAAGTGGGATACAAATGTATGGTATGTGAATTATATTGTAATACAGCTGTTTTTCCAAATAGAAAAAAGGAAGAAGAGCACCTACAGAGAGAATATCTGCACTGAGAAGAGCAGATGGCAGTGAACTGAACCCTTGGAAGCCATCCACAGTAAGTGCTAGAAGGGGAGCAGGGGAGCGAGGCAGAGAGAAGTGTGAGAAAAACACATGACAACAGTAACACCAAAGCCAGAGGAAAAAGTCAGTAAGCGGGGAGGATACACTGCCAAAAAGGGCAGAGAGGATCAATAGGAGGATGACTGAAAACCACCACTGGATTTGGTAGGAATTAATAGGTTTCTGACAACAATTAAATGAGGTGAAGACAAGCCGGAGTACTGTGAATCTAGGCATGGATGCAGAGATGAAGACCTAGAGGAATATAGACTAGAACATCATTAATTCATATGAAACAACTCCGTTCTTCATTTGTAAATATGTGATGGAGACTTCTACTAGGCCGTTTTCTGATAGAGGCAGGAGGTTGAGGGAAGCCCAGGCTGATGGAGTCAAGCAATAAGCTGCTTATCTGTCTCCATTTCTAAACTTGGGCTCAGTTCACTCTATCTACTGCCATGGTCAGCACACCAAGTACAAGAGCCCCCAGATCATTGTCTTGAGGTAATCATGTCCTTTGAATGGGCTCAATCTTTGTCAGACTGGGGTGGCTATGAGTAGTGTCTAATGAAGAGACAAAAGAAAGTACGGATCTGATAGAAATCAAGCTGACATTCATTATACTGAGTGAATAGAAGGTTAGGTGACTTGTTCAAGACCATGATGTTTTCTGCTAAAGAGTGAAGACTGAAATCCAAATTTCTTAACACTCTCAGCCTGATACATTTCCAGAGACCCATGCTGACTCTTCAAGAACAATGGTTGCGGGGAACCAGCAGTTAGCGTAATGGCTATGTCGCTGGACTACCACGTAGTTGACCGCGGTTCGCATCCCGCACTCGGTGGCTTAAAATTCATGCGGGGCGCGTGTGAGTGCGTGCCCAAGATCCCGAGGGGAGAATGGAGGAGAAGGGATTGCGGCGTGACCATTCCCCCTGGGGGGTAATTTCTCGCTTTCTGTCTCTATGTCTCTGTCTGTCTGGCGAGCGCACTCGCCCTGTAGCGAAAATCTCTCCAAAACAAAAAAAAAAGAACAATGGTTGCGGAACTTGGTTCTAATTTCCTTGCCATTTCATAATCATTAGGTTGAAAAGCTTGGCTCCAAATTCAGTTATGTAATTAGACTGATATTGGTTATTAAAATTTTTTCTTTTACTCCCTTAATAACCTTTATTTTATTGTACATATTTTATCATCAATTAAAAACATGCTAAAAAGTGTCCTGAACCATTAGAAATTATTTTGTAAAAGTTGGATGATTTAATTTTTGCATACTGTGGAAAGATTTACATGCCCCAGATCCCCCCCCCCTTTGTTTTATAAGGTGAGTTCTGTTACTAATCCAGATTCCCACTTGAAAACTTGTGCTTCTGTTGAGCACTTAAAACCTTCCTTTAGATTCCGTTTCTCAGTTGTCTCAAATCAAGTGCACACATGCATGCCCAGTATCTTTACGTCCCAGAACTGAATCCAGTTGTGTGAATGCTACACCACTGCAGGGCTCCCCTTCATAGAGCTGGACCCTTTCCTGTGTGGTTTTTTTTTTTTTTTTCCATTCCTAAAAGCTACCACTTAATTGTATTTCTCTTATTTTGGGCCCTATGTTCTTTAACTTAGATCATTAAGATGTTTTCTAACAAATGTGTTCATTTTCTTGGATATATCCTATCATCACGTTTTCAATGACATTTTCTACGACATTGCTAGATCTACTTTTTACAACTCACAGTTCAGATAATCATGTCCAAACCTGGAATACAATCTACCACCATAATAATTTTCTAAACTTGGCCACCATTCCTCATTTAATTACTTTTCTTTTCTTTTTTTTTTTCTTTTTAGAGATATTTTTACTATAGGGTGCATGTGTTCAATGGAGAGACAGAGAGACAGAGAGTGAGAAATCACTCCCTGTGAAGGATGGCCACTGTAATCTTTTCTCCTCCCTTCTCCTCTTGGGATTTTGGGCATGCACGCATATGCACCAAGCATGAGTCCAGGACTCCAGCTGCAATTGATTATGTGGGAGTCCAGCAACCTAACCATTATGCCAACTGCTGGTCCACCTCATATAGTTTCTTTATCAATCTTAACTAACTGGTATATTTGAAATAGTCTCTCCCTTTCTGAAACTGTGTTTGCACTGTGTATTCTTTTATGACTGGATAGTCCTCCTGACTTAAGCTAGTTAATGAGAATTTACTCATTCTACAAAGGATATTCAAATTCCATGTCCTCTGGAGGTCAATCTCTAGAGGTACTACATTTCTTTGCTTTCTCTCAGAAATATTCATTGCTATTTTCAGTAAGTTAATGACCCCACAATGTCTACAGTATTTGTCATACTGCATCAGAGTAAGTTGTGCAAGTCTCTCTCTCCAGCTGGATTTTGTATTTCTTAATTCCTAGGCTTGGTATTACAAATTCACTGTTTTTTGAAAGGATTTTCCATAACATTTGCTGTGTAACAGTTATATATAAAATATGTATTCAATGTGAATGAACTGAACCTCTATTTTTTTGCTATTTATTTATTTATTTATTTATTTATTTATTTTTAAGAGTTTTGCCATGGGGCATGTGCCCTTGTGGGAGATAGAAGACAGAGAGAGAGAAAGAGAGAGAAAAATCACCCCCCAAGGGGATGGCCACACCACAATCCATTCTCCTCCATTCTCCTCTCAGGATTTTGGGCACACATACACATACGTTCTGAATGATTCTCAAGCCACTTGGACTAGGACTCGAACCATAGTCAGCCCTGTGGGAATCCAGTGCTTTAACTACTGTGCCACTTGCTGGCCTCACATTTTGCTATTCTTGGTGCAATTCAGTATGTTTATCAGGTTTATAGTGAGTCTCTCTTGTGATGGAAATGCTTCTCTTTTTATCCTGTTACAATAGGACATCTGCTAATCGGTAAGCCATTATATGTGGAGTGCTCATGGTGTGCCAAAATTGAAGCTAAATTACATATCATCATGTCTACAAATTAGAGGTGGATCTTTACGTGCTGTCTGGTATAGATTTCCTTTACCAGAATGTTAAGTCATGTATTTATTATGTTAATTTTCCTTTCCTCTTCAACATCTTTCTGTACATCTTTCTAAGCTCTATTTCCCAAACCCCTCACCCAAACCTGGAAACTTAAGAGCTTGGAGACAATTTAGCTTCTTCTAAAGCAGTGATCCTCAGCTGAGGAAAGTCTTGTCCCTAGAGAGCATTTAAAAATATCTGGAAATACACACACACACACACACACACACACACACACACATACAAATGGAATGTTATTTGGCCATTGATCCTCCTAATTAGCTGAGGTTGCAGGTACATGCAAACATGTACAGTTTTAGGGTGAGCTGTAAATTGATTTTGTGTCTCCCATGTTGTCTCAGCTTGTTAAGTCTCAGCATCTATCAGCATGTGCTATCAAGGCAGGGCCACATTTTAATTCTCCAAATTGAGGAGCTGCTACTGGCATCTAGTGGGTAGAAGCCAGCGATGCGGCCAAACAGCCTACAATGCACAGGCCACTCCTACAACAAAGAATTATCTGGTTCAAGGTGTGCGGAGTCCCGAGGTTGAGTTCTGTTCGAAAGGTTGCTGCTGAGATAGTACTTCCAAGTTTTTCCTATAAAGTTAGAAAGTCCACATTCCCTGGATTTCCATGTAGGAGAGTGTCCAGGATTCCCATATCTAACCAGTATGATTGATTACAATCATGAACAAGTGAGGAGCTATCAGAAGTAAGGACCAAAGTCTAGCATTATTGAACACTTCTCATTCATGATCATAAATCTCAGAGAGTTGAGAGACTTTAAGAAAATAAAAAGTATAAAAAATAGATTTTGCTCACTATTTCTCTCATTTCTCAGTTAATTGCTAGTCATTTAGGAAATGTATACTAAAAGACACTTTTAAAGAAACATGACATAATGCAGAGGCAGGTGTGAGTGAAGTACCAAGTTAATAATATATACCAGTGACTGTTTTTAGACAATGAAAAGAAAAATGAATGTAAATAATGGGTATACTAAAGACAATACACCATTGCTCCTTCATGATCTTGTTTGAAACTGCTATTATATAAGCTAAAGGGAAAGTGCTTTGAGAATACTGAATGAAAAATAAAGGCAGTAGAGGTTACACAAATCCCAGCAGGCTGGAGGAAGAGAAGACTATTAAAATGTGTGATCCTGGAAGAAATTGTTTCTGTAATTGACAACAAGCCACTTATCGACCAATACTTGCCCTGTGTACTTTAATCTCAGAGCCTGGCACTTACCTGCAGGGTCACCGGGGACAGCTGACTTGAATCCCACACTCCTGGAGCTATCATTTCTATGGGAGGCTCACTCTGTAATGTCACACTGAATAGCATAGACCCGAAAATGGATTTTCTGCAAAACATAACACATATGGACACACAGGAGACACTTCATGAGGGAAGCTATTGTTATTTGTCAATGTGTTTTTTGGACTGTAAATAAAAACAGTTATTTTAGTGGCTTCATTCAGTAGCTAGAAAAGAAATAAGATATTTCACAAGCCCAGACACTGATTACACTGATTAATAGTTTATTTCTAATATATCACGTGCCTAGCTATTTTCATAGATGCCTACATTAATTTTCCATATGAGAAAATTGTTTACACAATTGCTTCTAATAGTTGGCATTTATTCTTTTTGTCTTTTTTTTCTTTGAGAGAGAGATTTTTTGTTACAGGGTGTGTACGCTTGCTAGAGAGAAAGAGACAGAGAGACAGAAAGCAATAAATTATCCTGGGGGGATGACCACATCACAATGCCTTCTCCTCTTGGGGTTTTGGGCACACATACGCACGTACCTGGCGTGAGTCTCAAGCCTCCAGGTCCAAGATTGGAACTGCAGTCGTCCATGTAGAAGCCCAGCAATGCAACCATTACAACATCTGCTGGACCCAGTAGCATTTATCTTTAATTGTTATCAATAATGATTACAAAATGGGACCAAGTATCTTACATTTATATTCTTGCATTTATGACTGCTTTGTCAATAGAGATGCTAACTCTTCAGAACATTGTTTTTTTTTTTTCCCTCAGTGAAGTGACTAAATTCCCTGGAGACCTTTAAAGATATGAGTTCTAAATTTATGGAAAGTAAAGATTTAAATTAGCATAGCATATAATTTGCAGAATCAAAATAGTCATTGGATTTTACAGAGGAAATGCTTCTTTAGGTATAAAGAGAAAGATTATTCATATGCATCATGTTTAAAAATCAGTTGTAATTTACCATAGTAAATGCGTATACATACAAGAAAGACTTTAAATGGAAGAATTCATGGATGGTTTTAAAATCTTCTGTAGCATCCGAATCCACAGACCCTCACATGAATTAAAAAAGAAGCTACAGTCAGCTGTGTATATGAACCAAAACATTGGTAATCTGTTCCAATGATCATCCAGAACAGTTTTTAAATTTTTACTGTTCTTTAGCTTATTTTAATAATTTCACAATGCATACATATATCAAAATGTCACACTGTACATTATAAATATATAATTATTTGTCAATTTTATTAGTCAACTTTAATAATGCTGAAAAATGCATACACATAAACATATAAAATTTTAAATTGAGTCTAAAGAAAGAAATACAGAAAGAGGATTATTTTAGCTCTAAAATTAGTGATTTTATCTGGAGACCCACATGTTTGATTTCAGCCTTGACCAACTCTAGCTCCAAGCTCTTGTTGTCTGTTATTTAATGTTGTTTTTTTTTTTAATTTTCTGTCAAGGATAATTCATTGTATTCTTTTCACTTTATTTTAAAAACTTTAATATGTATTTTTAGATATTCAATTGCTATTTATCATCACAACATGCAAAAGGAATTTTTGCAGCCTCAATACACTGCATATTAGCTCAGTTAAAAATACAATCATACCAAAAAACCCTTTCATACATTATCATCAATAGATAATTTTCCATGTTTGTATCCCTTAAATGTTTTGCTTATTTTTCCTCTTAATTCCCTTCGTCTCACCCTCCTCTCTGTCCCACTCTCCTCCCACACTGTCTCTAGTATCCACAATTGTTCTTCATGCTTGCATTTATTACTGCTTCATCAATAAAGATGTTCCAGTCTTTCAGTTTCTGCCATTGAGTGCAGACATTCTGTATATATTGAGTGGGGACATACAACATCTCTCTTTCATAGTCTGTCTTGCTTCACTTAGCAATAAATCTCCCATATTCATCCACTTTCTATCAAATGCCAGGGTATCATTTTTTTTTTTTTTTTATGGCTGAGTAGTATGTATTTGTGCCACACTTTTTCAATCCATTCATCTGTTTGTGGACATTTTGGTTGGTTCCATGTCTTAGCAATTGTGAATAATTCTACAACATGAATATGCTAGTACTTTTCCAGTTGACTGTATTACATTCCTTTTGGTGACTGTATTATAATCCTTTGGGTATATAACAGAAGTGGAGTTGCCAGATCATATGGTAGTTCTATTTGTAGGTCTTTTGGGACCTCTATATTGTTCCTCACAGTGACTATACTAATTTACATTCTGACCAACAATGTTGGAGAGTTTCCTTTTCACCTGTGCCTGTACTTATCATTTATTGTAAGTTTTTTAATCTTCGCCATTCTGACTGAGATTAGGTGGAATCTCATTGTTTTTTTGTTTTGTTTTGTTTTGTTTTGAGAGGTTTTTGCTATAGGGCGTGTGTGCTCGCCAGACAGAGAGACAGAAAGCAAGAAATCACCCCCCAGGGGGGATGGCCATGCTGCAATCCCTTCTCCTCCATTCTCCTCTCAGGATCTTGGGCATGCATGCACATGTGCCTGGTGTGAGTTTTAAGCCACCGGGTCTGGGACTCAAACTGCAGTCGACTACATGGGAGTCCAGCAACATAGCCATTACGCTAACTGCTTGTCCCTCTCACTGTAGTTTTGATTTGCATCTCCCTTATTTTATTTTTTTTATTTTTTATTTATTTTTTTTATTTATTTATTTTTTTTTTGAGAGGTTTTTGCTATAGGGCGTGTGCGCTCGCCAGACAGAGAGAGAGAGACAGAAAGCGAGAAATCACCCCCCAGCGGGGATGGTCACGCCGCAATCCCTTCTCCTCCATTCTCCTCTCCGGATCTTGGGCACGCACACACACGCGCCCGGCGTGAGTTTTAAGCCACCGGGTCCGGGCCGGGAACCGCGGTCGACTACGTGGGAATCCAGTGACATAGCCATTATGCTAACTGCTGGTTCCCCATCTCCCTTATGATAAAGGATGTTGAGCAGTTTTACATATGCTTTTTGGCTGTTCATGTATCTTTCAAAGTTGTCTGTTCAGCTCATTTGCCCATCTTTTAATTGGATTGCTCTTTTTTTTTCTCAGCTGAGCTGCTTGAGTCCCCTGTATATTCTGGTTATCTGTCCTTTATCTGAGACATAGCTTGCAAATATATTCTCTCATTCTGAGGGTTACCAATTCATTCTAATTATTGTTTATTTTGTTGTGTAGAAACTTTTTAACTTGATGTAAATCCACTTGTCTATTTTTGGGATTACTGCCTGTGCTTTGGGTATCTTATTTAAGAATTCTTTGCCTACTCTGATGTCTCCAAAAGTTTCCTGTGTTATCTACCAGTAGTTTTATAATTTGAGGTCTTAGGTTTATATCTTTGATCCATTTTGAATTGATTTTTGATAATGGTGAGAGATATGTGTCCAGTTTCATGTTTCTGCAGGTGGATACCCAGTTTTTCCAGTATCACTTGCTAAAGAGATTTTCTTTTTCCCACTGGTTTGACTAGTGTCCTTTATCAAAAATCAGTTGGTTGTATGTATTGAAGTTTACTTCTGGGGTCTCTATTCTATTCCATTGGTCCACATGCCTATTTTTGTTCCAATACTATGCTGTTTTGGTTATCACAGCTTTGTAATATATTTTGCGGTCAGGGAGTGAGATGACTCCTACTCCACTCTTCTTGCACATAATTGCTTTGGTAATATGGGATCTTTTATGATTCCAGACAAATTCTGTAATTGCTTTTCCTAAATCTGGTGAAGAATATCTCTGATTGAGATGCATTAAATTTGTAGATTAATTTGGGTAGGATCGTCACTTTGATTTTATTAATTCTTCCAATCTAGGAACATAATGTTTTTCCACTTCATTTTTTAAAGAAAGATTTTTGCTTCAGGTCACGAGGTCAAACCAAATAGACAGACACAGAGTGACAAAAAGGAAGAAATCACCTACCAGGGAGGATGGCTACACCATAGTCCCTTCTTTTCCTCTCAGGATTTTGGGTATGCATGCATACACACTTGGCATGAGTTTTAAGCTGCCGGATCTGGGACTTGAACCATGGTTAAGTCTGTGGGAGCCCAGCAATATGACCATTATGTCATCTGCTGGTCCTCTTCCCACTTTTTTGTTTGATTTTCTATTTCTTTTTTAAGTTATTCATAGTTTTCCTTAAAGAGGTCTTTCACTTCTTTGGTTAGGTTGTTCCTAGTTATCTTTCACTTTATCAATTGCAAATGGGACTGTTTTCTTCAATTCTACCTCAGTTTGCTCTTTGTGTATAGAAATGTTAAAGATTTTTTTTTTAATGTTGATTTGGTATCCTGACACTTTACTGTATTCATTTATCACTTCAGGAGATTTTTAAAATTTTTTGTGTGTATTCTTTTGTATTTTCCAAGTAGATAATCATGCCATCTGGGAATAGAGATAATATGACTTCTTTCTCTATTTGAATGCCTTTTTAAAAATTCTCTTGTCTTACTGAATTAGCTAGGACTTCCAGTACTATATTGAAAAGGAGTGGAGAAAGTGAGCAGTCTTGTGTTGCTCCAGGTTTTAATGAAAAAGCTTTCGACTTTTCTCCATTCAGTATGATGTTAGTTATGGGTTTTTCATATTTGGTTTATAGAGTGTGAGAAATATCCCTTTTATGCCTGTTTTTGCTTCAGGCCATGTGGGCACACCAAATAGACAGACACAGATTGACAGAAAGGAAGAAATCACCTACCAGGGAGGATGGCCTACATCTGTTGATATGATCATATGGTTTTATCCTTTCTGTTAATATGGTATTTATGGTTTTTATGATTTTGCATATGGTGAACAATTCTTTAACCCCTAGAATAAAGCCTACCTGGTCATAATGTATAATCTGTTTGTATCATTGGATATGATTTGGTAGTATCTTGTATCTTGAATATACATGTTTGCATGTATATTCATCAGATATTGGTCTGCAGTTTTCTTTTTCGTTATATCCTTGTCTGTTTTGGGGATGAGGATGAGGCTCCATAAAATGAATTTGAGAGGGTTTCTTCCTTTTAGATTTTTAGAAATAGTTTGAGTAGAATGGGAGTTAGCTCTTCTTTA